AGGGGGAGAGAGAAAGGGAGGGGGTGGAGAAAGAGAAAAAGAACACAGATCTTGATAGCACGTTGTAATACAATCATCTAATAACGATAGTAAATAATAAATAGCATATTATTTGTATAGCGCATAACCCCTCTCTACCGCAAGCTCTTATGCGCTTTACACTACACTAGATATTATTACCTCAGCAGACCATAGAACACTCAGAAATACTCTCAGCTTCCCGGGAAGCATGTTTGAAAACATAGATCTAGATCTAGATATAGATCTAGCAGACCTTAATTACAGTACCGTAATTGAAATTTGGTTTGTTTTCTTTGTCTTTTTACAAAGTGAACAAAGCCTTGTTCCGAAAACGGTAATAAATCAGGAGCTATCATGAACAATCCCTCCTATTCAGACCACCCTAATGAATTTTTTTTTCAAAATGATAATAATAAAATTATGATTAATGATTCATCAATATTCAATATGATATAGAATCTAGAATCTAGACTAGATCTAGATTATTCTATTTTTTGTTTCAATATACACGCAATAAAAACAGACCTAGATCTAGATTCTAATTCGCCCTCACCACACTTTGGAAATCAATCTTTGCCTTTCGACATCGCTCTTGAAGACTGCACAAATCCATAGCAACAAAACCAATGACGTAATTCTCAATTCGCTTCCTTTTTATGGGGGTGCATAGCAATGGCATCTTTGGCTATGTCTTTTAGAGAGTTAAAGGCCTAGGCCTAGCCTAGTTGTGACTTGATTTCTCTAATTAATTGCTTTTTGAACGCTCAACCAGATAATTATGCACTGGCACAATCAGAGGAAAGACCTTCGGCGATATTTTGGAGAGAGCAGTAGAGCATCAATGGACATGTCCAGAACGCATGGATGTTGCTTCCTGAAACGATGAATAATGAACAATTTTCTTTTTGCTCGAAATTCAGCGCGTTCGAAGGCTTACAAGACATTAAAGAATCAGAAGATTTCACTTAGAGGAAACGATACAATATTAAAGTACGGTAGTCTACTCATGGTTTCCCGCTGACATCGGCAGCACACAACGAGCCTAAGGTTTAACTTGGCCCGTAAAACAAAGTAGTGCTTTGAAGGGCGGAGTTTTTCGAATCGGTGTCCTTCTTCGATTGGAAAGGGGAAGAGTATTCAGAATAATTCACAAACTGTTTTCTAGAAATTTGAACTCTGTCTGTCAAATCTAGAGCCATAAAAGGAGCAGATATTGGAGTATTTTCTGGATTTTTGTTCAAGTGAAATCTAACTACGGGGGTGAGGGTGGGAGGGGAGGGATCTGTTGTTCTCTATCAGTGCAGGGAACTCGGATCTTACACATCTAGAACTTCATGATAAACTGAGCAGTTGCCCTCAGATGGAAAGAGCCCCCGCATGAAGATCACCTTTCTTGCCAATTTGACTCTTCTGTCGCTTATAATTTCAACAGTAATATTCATCATTAAATTTGTCTCGAGACACTTTCAGTTAACACGTATGTACTATCATGCATGATGACCCAAATCCACTGGCGCAGCCAGCGGGTGACGGATCGCAAGGATGTAGTAATGTAGATCTGCCACAACCTTACTTGTCACCCCCCCCCCCCTTTTCCCCCAGCGAATTGGTGGTATGGCCAGTCATTGTCATAGAGTTATCTCGTAAATCTATGGTCATTGTATCGCAGACATTTTAACGGAGGTGACATGAGAGTCAAGGGCTGACGAGCGAACGACACGTTTAAACTGCCAGTCAGTCTGTGCCCCACTGCCCCTTCTAAGCTATCACCTTAGCCCGATTCTGTGTTCTAAAATTAGCATTTAACAGAACTGCGATTGGAAATTGTTGTGTGCTTGCTTTATTCAGTGCGTATATGGTCGCTTTTAAGCACAAGGGGCCTCTCTCGAAAAATGCTGTTTTGAGAAAGTCGAAGGTCAAGCTTTTGCCCCTTGTTCAGGCTCTTAAAAGGCAAGGAGAGTTTTCTCTATAACCAAAACAAATATAATGCACACCAATGAAACCAAACTTTTCTTATATGTAGGGCAATGCTCACTTTTGGTGTGGGTCAATGTTTCTGGAAACCCCCGAAATCTGGGTTAATCCGCTAGTCCTTAAAAGCAACCATATTAGTTTTAGTTTTAGTAGAGGATTTTACGGCGCTCGCAACTTCATAAGGTCATAATATGAGCGCCAAGAGTGTCAACAGAGAAGTCTGTACAGGGAATCAGACTTACTCTGCTCACCTCTCTAGCTTCAACAGCACAAAGTCTGCTATCAAGGCACCCCGGAAGTAGCAGGTCACAAGAGTGTGACAAACATGCAAAAAAGTAGATGAAATGACAATAGTAAGGATTAGGGAAGAAAAAGCAGCAGTTCCATGTTGTAGATCAGGCACAGTTATGAGCGTGACATGATGAATCAGCCCATTCACAATTCTACTGTGCATGAGCGAGAAATGTCCCCCCTTTGGGAATGGCCTAAAGACACTATACAGTCAGTGGCACTGCCGCGGGAGGGGGGGG